CCTTACTGTTCTCCATGACAGCTGGATTAGTTTACATTCCCACCAATAATGCCTAAAAGTTCTCTTTTTTATGCACCTTTGCCACCATTTATTAATGTTTTGATTTTTGATGATAGCCATCCTGACTGGGGTGAGATGATGTCTTGTTTGCAGTTCCCTGACAATGCGTAGCATTTTTTTCCCCCATATGCGCTTTGGCCATTTATATAATACATTTTTTGGAGAAATGTCTGTTTAGATCATTAGTCCATTTTTAAATTGGATTTCTTTTTTCAGTACCAGGGATTGAACCCGAGGCAAATGCTCTACCATTGAGCTCATCCCCAGCCCTTTATGAAATTTTATTTTGATGCAATCTCACTAAGTTGTCCAGGCTGGCCTCAAAGTGGTGACTCTCATGATTCAGCCTCCTGAGTAGCTGGGATTATAAGCATATGACACCATGCCCCGCTTGGACTTTTTTTTTTTTTTTTGAGCTCCTATAGTGTAGTCTTAGCCCAGTCTGATCCTGTTCAAATGAGAGTCATGTTGTGGCAGTCTTCTGCTTGAAATCAGCCAGGGGCTTCCCACCTCACTGAGAGTAAAGCCAAAGTCCTTACTAACAACAGGGCCCCACACACTGGGCTTCACCTGGCATTGCCTTTCTCCCCCCTCACTGTCTTCCAGGACTTTCTTGCTGCTGCTTGTGAACATGCTCAGCCTAATCTCTCCACAGGGCTCTTGCACCTTCCTTGCTTGGAACACCGTTCCCACAGATATCTTGCATGGCTTCCTCTGTCACCCCTTTCAATTTTTGTTCAGATGTCACCTTTGCAGGGAAGCATTCCCTGTCTACCCTGTTTAGCATCACAGCGACCCTCCCCTGTGTTCACGGTTCCCCTTGCATGCGCTTTACCCATGCTCACACTACCTCCTAACGTGGTATAATTGACCCGAGCATCCAATTGTCCGTCTCCCCAGACATGCTCGGTGAAGGCAAGAATTTCTTTCTCCCTCCCTCTTCTTCATCCTCCTCTTTTGGACTGATGTTTCTGTAGCACCTGGACTAGTGCCTGGTTTTGGATGAATGGAGGCAGGGGCAGTTTCTCATTTGGGGTGGTGGGTCACTGTCCTGAGTGTACACCTGAATAAATCACATCAGTCAGGATATGTGTGTTATCTCAAGTTTTACCCTGCATTCACTTGATGTCTATCATTTCTTGAACGTATTGATGGCTTATTTAAGGCATAGCTATACCTAATTGAAAATTATTTGTTTTGATTAACTAACCAAAGATGCATTCAGTGCCTAGAACCTGAATCAAAGGGAGGCAAACTGTTTGGAAAGCCAATTTAAGTTGACAGGTGACATCACTAAGAGATCATTAGGAAGTACTAAATAGAACTGTTTGGAAAATAAACCATCCTTTGATCTGTCGTATTCCTGGGAACTCGAGTGCTTTTGTTCTGTATAATAAGTAACTTGGTTGTTTGTAAATGCCAACAAATTTAGTGTCAGACAAAATATTTCCTTGTTATAAGATGAATTAAAATGAATTAACTGCTGGGCACATGCCTATAATCCTACTGGCTCAGGAGGTTGAGGCAGGAGGATTGTGAGTTCAAAGCCAGCCTCAGGAATTCAATGAGGCCCTAAGCAACTCAGTGAGACTGACTCTAAATAAAAGAGTTGGGGATGTGGCTCAGTGGTTAAGTGCCCCTGGGTTAAATCCCCAGTACCAAGAAAAAAAAAAAATGAATAACCGATTTTTCACAAAGACATATTCATTCAAGTGTGTTTTAGAAAATTCAGTCCTTTTTAATGCAGAAGTTTTCTTTCTCAAAACATTGAGTTAAAATTCAATGGATATTTATTTTACTCAGCCAAGGAAGTAAAACTAGGTTCAAATAATTTATTGAATGAATGTGTGTTAAAAAAAATAGTTGGAAATATAAAGTACACATAAATTACTAGAAAACAATGTGAAATGAAATAGGGAAATGAACTGTGGGATTCCAGATGAGAGAAAGCACCATGGAGTTCCAAGTAATGCAGCGGGGAGGGAGCCTGTCTAGCTTGTGGGAGGCCCTGGGTTCAACCCCCAGAGCCACGGGGATGGGAGGAGGTGGCTTTCCTGAAAGCCAAAAAGATGGAAGCAGATATGGAAGTGCAGGACCCTCACAAAAATCCCTGTATACTCATTCATTCCCTGTGTGAGGGCACATTTCTCTCTCTAGATCTGTTTTTTATTTGTAAATGAGGAGTGACCATAGTGTCAATGTCATAGGGTTATTGCAGGGATAATGAGATAATGCACCTCTTAATACGGAATGAGAATCCAGAGAAGTTCAGTGACGTGGTGATTCATCAAGTCCGAAACCTGGGAGGCGATGATGGTCATGAAGGTCTCAGCTGGGGTACCCCGGACCTTGGAGAAGTTATCCTGGGTCTTGTACTCGGGTCCAAGAGGAGCAACCCCTTGCTACACCTCAATTCATCCAGCAGACAGGGGTTAGGTCTACAGCAAAGCCAGAGCTCTCTTGGGCCCTAGAGGATCATGAATAGGAAACATTCATGCCCACCCGGAAGTCATGGTTTAAATGGTCATCAGACAAGCCTGAGGGACAGCATGGTGGCAAGAGCTAGCACTGAAGTGGAGGCATCCCACATGTCCATCACCTAGTGAGTGATAACAAACAAATGTGCTTCATCCATACGATGGAGTATTATTTAGCCATGGAAAGGAATAAAGCTCGGCAACATGCTCCAACACAGATGAACTTGAAGGTGTGCCAAGTGAAAGGAGCCAGTCACAAAGTGTCACATACTGTGTGATTCCATTCATATAAAATACCTAGAATAGGCAAGTTCATAGAGAGATTAAGTAGGCTGTGGAACTGGGCATGGTGATGTACGTCTGTAATGCTACAACTTGGAAGCTGAGGCAAGAGGATCGCAAGTTTGAGGTCAGCCAGGGCAACTTAGAACCTGTCTCAAAGTGTTAGAGATGTAGCCCCTGGGTTCAATTCCCAGTATCCAAAAAAAAGAAAAAAAGGTAGGTTATGGGCCCTTGGGCATGAGGAAAGGGCACCATGCTAATGGGCGTGGAGTTTCTTTCTGGGGCAGTGAAAATTTCAAAAATGGATCATGGTCTTGGTTGCACAACTCTGAATATATTAAATACCTTGAGTGGGTGCATTGTACGGTACGTGAATCATATCTCAATAAAGCTGTTGAAGAAAGGAAAAAAAAAACACCTCCCACCACTGTGCAGATAGGGACCCAAGTAGGCTTGACATGACTAGGAGTGAACAAAAGAAACTGCAAAGACGCGGGTGAGGGGTGAGCAGGCCGTGCCCACGGAGGACCTCGTCTTATCAAGGAATTAGCCACTGAGGGTTGCAGATGGTGTATGGTCGCCCTGGTGCCTGTGGGAGACTGGGCGCACCAACCCTGAGAACAGTAACGGCTGGAGCTGGGAGCTGGGGGAGACGGGGGCTGGGCAGCGCGACAGGGCCATGGCAGGAGTCCAGGCCAGGAAAAAGGTGCATGTGAACCAAGAGTAGAAGTATGGACAGTCAAGAGCCTGTAAGAGTTGGAACAGCCGGGGTGTGAGGGTCTAGTGCAGACAGGAGAGGAGGACAGCCCCCAGGATGCCAGCATGGGTGAAGGGTCTGTGCCCTCACCAGCGGAGACAGAAAGAAGCCGGGGAACCAGAACCAGAGGGTTCTTCCTGAGGGCTTCGGATGCCTTGTGCCTGTGCTGAGATTCGGTGAAGCACAGAAGCCAGGTCTTGCTTGGTGAGAATGGGGAGGAGTGAGCGATATCCATCCCTGCCTGCTCCACTTGTGGTCTCTGCAACTTTTTGGTGTTGCAGGGTGCATCTTTAGGGTCACTTGAATACTGTGACCCGAGTCATCTAGAATTTATCTAGTCTCTTCTCCATGGAGCTTTGTTTTCTGATTCTATGATGAGGTGTTCTTTTTTTCCCCCCTCCAATTAAAAGCTAATGCTGAAGACATACAGGATTATTGAGACTGCTCTGTCCCTCTAAGTACTAGAGCAATTTGTTAAAACTTTTACTGGGAGTGGAATGCTTTTTACAGAAGGAATCATACATCCCTTTGAAAAACAGGTGAAAGTAGAACCCATCTGTGTCCAAAGCCCTGAAAGATGGTTCCAGTTGTTACTACTGGAATGAATGGGTTGATTTGTAACCAGAATCCAGGTTCTCTGGGGTCTGAACTGATAAAGTACAGAGGGGGAGAACTTTTGAAAGCTGAGTATGTAATGAAGACTTCATATTTAGGGTTAGGGCCTTGGAAGAGCACTGAAGCCACACTCCCACTACCTTCATGGGATCTTGGCCATGATGGAGATGGGTGTTAACAGGCCCAGGTACAATCCCAGAGCAGTTTTCATACGTTAATCTTCAGAACAACCCAAGGTACTGTACTGGAGGTACGGAAGAGTCATGCCCAAGGTCACACAGAGGGGAAGTGGAGTGTTAGAAGGGGAAGGACAGAAGAGAAAAGAACCCTAGAACTGAAAGCCACCCCAGCTTTGCCACCATCCATTGGGGAACCCTGAAAAAAAAAAAACCCACTTACTTGGGCTGGGGTTGAGGCTCAGTGGTGAGTGCTCACCCAGCATGTGGCGGGCACTGGGTTTGATTCTCAGCACCACATAAAATGAATGAAATAAAGGTATTGTGTCCATCTACAACTAAAAAACAATTTACAAAAATCACTTAGCCTCTCCAGTGCAGCTTGACTTCACTTGTCCAACAGGAGCACCGAGGTCTGCCGGGAGCCCTCTGTTGGGTAGGTCTGGGGTCGGGAGTGTGAGGGAAAGTGTTTTGTGAAGGCCTGGTGTGGGGCGTGTGATGTGATGTTGAGCAGCTTTCTCTTCCGTCTCAGTCGTGTAGTGAGGCTAGAAAAAGTTTTCCATTTTGCTAACTTTTTTTTTTCCAAATATTTCTGATTTCTTGGGTGTGATTTTTTTTTTCTTCTTTTTTCAGGTTACTTGTCTTCAGGACTTTTTTGGTGATGATGATGTTTTTATTGCATGTGGACCTGAAAAATTCCGTTACGCCCAGGATGACTTTGTCTTGGATCACAGCGGTAAGGCAGCTCCTACCGTCTCTAACCCCGGGAATGAAGGCTTGGGATTTAGTCACCTGGTACCTGTTAAGAGGTCACTGTGCTGAGGAAAGATGAGCTGGGCTCGGTGGCTCTCACTTGGAGTCCCAGCTGCTCGGGGGACTGAAGGGGAGAAGGATCCCTTGAGCCTGGGACTTCGAGGCCAGCCTAGACTGCTCAGCAAGACCCTGTCTCAAAATGCAAACAAAAAGGAAAGGATAATAACTAAATAGTTACTAGTGGTGATCTGAGGTTTCTTTTTACCTCATTGTTTGGGTTGCGACTTTGAAAGAGAAACAATAACATGCTTTGTGTATCTATTTCCTGGGGGGGGGGGCTATTTTGTGGGTGAAATTAAAAGATCCCTTTTTCTTGATTTTAACCAGTATTTGGAGTTTTCATCTAATACAAGTTATCTCAGTTATTTCAAATGTTCTAGGAGTAGGGGTTTATAGTCTTAATTATTCTAAACCTATCACAGTAAATAATGATTGATTTGGCTAATAGTGAAATCAACTTCTTTAAATAGGGCAAAATTACCCAGGCATAAAATGTTAGGAAAAAAAAAAATTAGAGATAAATTCCTGCTTTTTATACATGAGGAAAGTTGGCTCTGAAAATAATGAATGGTAGACAACTTCCAATTGAGGGGTTGTGACAATCCAGAATTAGAGAAATATATCACCAAATAAATAGGGATAAATGTGCTTTTTAAAACTTGAGGTGGTCGTAATCTCTTGTCGTTCTTTCCTGTTATCCTGTATCAGTTTCCGTGTGTGGATGGTTTATCTGTGTTTTTCTGTTTTGCTTTTCTCCTCTACCACATTTCTTAAAGGGTTTCTGTTTTGTATTCTATTGGAGCATCACCCCTGCTTTAGGTTGGTGACACCACTCTAAAGTCCTTTATTGTAGATGATGTTCATTTGTGTTATCTCTGCTGATAATGTTCTCCCTCATTCCTGTGAGATGGAGGTTGGCGGAGATATTCATTTACTTCTCAACTATATTTTACATTTTCTTCAATTTTAGCTTTAATTTCATAATATTTCTTTGTCAGTAGCAATCATTTTGAAAGTCGAGACACTGAAACTAAATCATATGTTCTAGGAGATAGTGTCTTTGGGCATGGTGCTGCATACCTGTGGTCCTAGCAATTTAGAGGCAGAAGCAGGAGGATCACAAGTTTGAGGCCAGCTTTACCAATTTAGCAAGACTTAGTTGTTTTTTTTGTTTTGTTTTGTTTTTGTTTTTGCTGCTGTGACTTAAAGACCTGACAAGAACAATTTTAGAGGAGGAAAAGTTTATTTGGGGCTCAGAGTTTCAGAGGTCTCAGTCTATTGACAGCTGGCTCCATTCCTCTGGGCTGAAGGTTAGGCAGAACATCATGGTGGAAGAATGTGGTGGAAGGAAGTACAACACACTGGGAAGCAGAGAGAGGGCTCACCAAGCACAAAATATAAACCCCAAAGGCACGTCCCCCAGGGATCCACCTCCATTAGCCACACCCTACCTACCTACAGTTACCACCCAGTTAATCCCATTAGGGGGCAAATTCAGGCCCTCGTGGCCCAATCATTTCATCTGTGAAGACTCTTGCTTTGTCTCTCACAGGAGCTTTTGGGGGACACCTCATATCTAAACCATTACACTCTTATTTCAAAAAAGTAAAAACCAGGGTTGGGGGCTAAGAACCTAGCCCAGTGGTAGAGCCCCTGGGTTCAGTCCCCAATATTACAAAAGAGAAGTGTATTTGGATAATAACAGCAACAGAACATTTGTCCCTGTGTGTACAGACACTGTACTCTGCTTTGGGTGCATGTTGTAAATTTATCTGAGCTGGTTGGATCCTTCATTGTTGGTGGCCATCAGTGGCTTCCAGTAGTAAGGGATAGGTGAGAACTATTGATTTCCTCTCTCAGTTTCTAGTTACTTAACCTGCTCCAAAGAGAGGAGAATAATGGTAATTTCATAAGGCTTAGTGAGGATTAAGGGAATTCACATGTCATGGCAGCTAGGGTGTCTGTCACATGCTAGAGAATATGTCTTCTGCTGCTATTGTTGCTGAAAATATCATGCCATTACATGGTAAGGTTTTGTAGTGAAAGCAAATCTCAGACCTGATTCACCACAAGTGCATTTATTAGGAGGCAAGGAGTTTTAAAAAAAATCAGTTTGTTTATCTTGTGTTGTGATCTTGAAGTCCTAACTGTCCTTTTAGGCTTCTGACAATTTCTTGTAAAGATCCATGGAATTCAGCTAACCTAATCTTGGTCAAGTAACAGATCCTCTAGTAAGAGCTGGACGCAGGACGAGCTCTGATTCCTACGCCGCCCAAAGTGTAGTTCTGAAGTTATTGGCCCAGTATTGACATATCCTTGCTCATAAGAGTGACAGCACCTTTAAAATGTTTCTAACTGGTCCACACACTGCACCTTTCAACAAAGAACACTTTCTAACACCCACAATGCCAATTAACCAAGCAGAAGTAGCTACCCTTCCAATGAGGTTTTGATTAGAGTCTTTCAAATGCTAACTAACCTCCCCTGGTGTGTATTTTTCTGATTAGTGTACTTCACATGTTAATTTACTGCCCCTAGGGTTTAGATTAAAACTAACCTATATTTTAATATTTCTGCATAAATTGAAGTATTTTAAAGTGTAGACAATGTTATCTAATTCAATCCTTATAACAAGCCTGTGAAGCAGATTTTATTCTTATTCCAACTAGGGAAAAGTAGAAAAGAGAAAAATACTGAGAACATTTTATTTGACTTTGGTTATTAGAACATAAGGAAAGTCTCCCAGTTAGTAAATGTCAAATCCATGATTCATCCCAAATCTATGTGATTCCAAAACCCATATTCTTAATTATTCAAATTACAAGTGATTATGTTAGCTGTAATTAGTTCTGGTACTTCAAACACTGACAATTTATGGAAAGACCTAAGTTATGGTTTAAAGCTATTTTCATTTTTAATGCTTCACGAAACTTTGGGAAAATAAGACAGGAAGAGTCCTTGAGTTAGCATCCCATCGCCTTTCAAATAAGATCATCAAGGAGTTGGAGAGGACAATGAAATCATAGTCTCTGCCTGTCAGTGCTTCTGGTTATAAAGGATGTTGCACATGTGGGGATGAGCTGTGGATGTTTCTGTGTATCCAGTTAGCAGGATATTGGGGTTTTGGAACTGAAGATAACCTTGGGTGTACGTTTGGGGCAGTTGCTTTGTACATTAAAGTTTAGCAGAACTGAGGGTTGCTCAGTGGTATAACCCTTGCCCAGCACGCATGAATCCCTGGATTTACTCCCTAGCATGTACCCCCCCCCCCAATAAAAAAGCTTTAACAATAATCGAGAAATCGACCCATAATAGTTACAGACAGAAAACTGTAGTCACATATGATATGCCTCTGGCCAATGGTGAACCCTGCTTTAGTTTGTGCACTTTTGTTTCTTTCTAGAATGTCGTGTCCTGAAATCTTCTTATTCTCGCGCCTCAGCCGTTAAATATTCAGGATCCAAAAGCCCTGGGCCTTCTCGTCGCAGCAAATCACCAGCTTCAGGTACTTAATAGAAAAGTTGTGGATGCACAGAAGGGGCAGGTCATTCTCCTTCCGTTTTTTTTTTTTTTTTTTTTAATGTTCATGAGCTGGTAGTCTTTGCCAGGCTGTGTACAGCCAAGGGTCCAGAACAGCATATAGATAATATCTTAAAGTCCTAAAGTCAAATCTGTTTTCCAAAGTTGTAAGTCTCCTGAGAGAAGCGTTTTTGTTCTGACACATTTTCTCAAGAATAGCCTTATATATATCTTTTTCTGGTATTTATTTACATTTTGACCACAGTGTACTGCATTTTAAATTTTGTACTAAATAATTATGGATATCTATTTTCCTAACATTCCTCTTATTGCTGTAACACACACAGATGCACACACAAATATGTTTACTTGATCAATCTCCAGAGGTCTTTCCTTCATCCAGCAATGTGATAGTAACAAGACCATTGTTGGAAAGTTGTACTTGTTTAAGAATCAGACTTTTCTGTAATTAAGTTTCTTCCAGGTCTTAAGCCCATAGATGTCATAATTTGGACTGTTTTGGCATTTTTTTAAACAATAAAAAATATCCATAAATATCTCATTAGATTGGTTCTTTGGGCTTGTTTATAGTAATTAAGAGTAATTTTGCTTGTTTCACTTCCCACTAAGGGAAGAATCATGAAAAACTACTGAACGGGGGTCGGGGGGAGGGGAATCTAGCACAGGAGCAAGTGGAATCAGTGGACCACCTTGAGCACCCAGCTCTGGAAGGCCTGGCCTCCCCGCCCCCTCGGGGCTCCCCCGTAGCATCTCCGTCACCTTCTTTAGGGCAGGCTGTTCACCCTTCTTTCATGTGCACCTTACACCTGCTGAATAACTGCTCTCTTGCTGTCTCCTCCTGCTTTGTGTACACTGCACGTGTGCAGTCAGGAGGGGAGGCCACCACTCCAGTGCCTATTCTGCAGCCAAGTCCCCAGGTGAGCCACCATCACGATGGCTGTGTCGCTCCGCTGGGCTTCTGTTTCTGTCTTTGCTCCATTTCTGTTTCCTTTTGCTCCATTTCCATGAGTGTGTCTGGCCTCCTCCCGTGAGCATCTGGCAGCGTGAGATGCTTCACAGGGTGCAGGACGCTGTGGCCAACTCTGTCCAGTGAGAGCCAGTGATCAGAGTGCCTCCCAACTATCTTTGTGTGGCTGAAATTCAGAGTGATGGAGGAGGCACAGTCCCCTCCAGGGGAAATTTAACTAGAAAGTTAATTTTGGAATTTTTTTTGTTACTGAAATAGGCTGATGAGGTTTGTTGAAGATACAAAAGTTGCCACAGAAGCAATCGTACTTTTCTGTCCTCATCCCTGCCCCACTCCCCGCCACCAGGGCTAAGCACTTAGGAATCATTAAAACCCTAGAGTTCAAAGTACTTGATAGTAACATTTGCCAGCAGAGTAGGACTGTGAGGTGTTTCCTGTGCACACAAGGAGGCAGTGCTGTGGTCTTTCTAGTTGTAAACCAATGATTTTCATAAAGTTACAGGCTCCACACACCCTGACAGCCAGCACCTTGAGTATTTTTACCAAAGATCTCTGTCATTCACCTTATTTTACATTGCATTAGCTCTCTGTAAACTATCCTGAAACTCAGAAAGCTAATATGAAATTTGCATAAATATGATGACCTCAGCAAGTAATATGGTGATATAGACTTAGTGTTAGATTCCTGGGTTTTGTTTTAGATGATATGTTTACAGATATTTATCACATCAGTATAATTAAAATAGAGAGAGTGGTCCAAGAATCAGATATAATTGATTCAGTTTTGTGCCCCCTGAGGTCCAAAGAGGAAAATTAACACACTGAACTACAAATGTCTCACTGCTGCATTTGCTTTGCAGACCTCATAACTGCATAAATGATTCTTTTCAACTTGAGTTTGGAATTCTTAAAAGCTGATTAAGGAATACTAACGTTCCAGGACACGAAATTTTCAAATGAATCTATATTTGGATAGAGGAGGCCTCAAACTCGCGGGTAAAAGTTGTGAGATTTTAAAATCACATTTCAGAGGGCAAGCAGTCTAAGACATCGATTCAGAGAGTGCACTCACTGCAGTCAGACGACCAAAAGCCCAAGTCATCTGCTGGCACTTCACTGGGATTCTGAAAGAAGCTGCCGCATTTAGCCCTGCAGTGCTTTCTCCCCATGTTCCATCACCAAGAGGGAGAGGGCTTTGTGTTATTAGAGGCCACAGTGACGGGAGCAGTGTTGTTTGCTGTTGCTGACCGCCTTAGCTCTGGAATACCTGATGCTATTTAAAAAACTCCAGGGGAGCTGGGCACAGTGGTGTGCACCTGTGTGTCCCAGAGGCTTGGGAAGCTGAGGCTGGAGGATCACTTGAGGCCAGGAGTTGTAGGCCAGCCTGGACAAATCAGATCTCATCCCCCATCCCCCCACCCCCCAAAAAGGAAAAGGACTAATTGGAATTTCAAACAGAGATAGTAGCTTTGTAAACATAATATTGGAACAGAAGTGCTGCTTCCAGTGAAACCTTCAATCCACTCCAGTCTTCAACAAAACCCTATCAAACTATCTAAAACAGTGTGTTATGAACACATGGATGTTATTGTGGATAACATAAGTGGGTTAGCAGTTACCATAATTCAAGTCTTAAAAAATCCATGTTTTAGCTTGGGAATCTTTCATAGTCCATCAAGATAAAGAGTATTCCGAGTAAAGAAATAAACAACAAAGCCTCCCAAATTTCTCTTTGCCTCATAAGTTGAAGGGAGGAGGATAAATTTTTGAGGAGAAAAATCAGAAAGAGTGAGGAATAGGAGCATTGTGAAGATGCGGGCTGGCCTTGCCCACCTTTCAGCAGTGTACAAGGGTACCAGTGATGGGAAGGGTACCACGTACCTGTGTCCAGAGCTCCATTGACCTCCCCCAGATCTCAGGAGACTGTGCAAGTAACGGGATTAAGGACTTATTAGTGAATATTTCTAGAACCTTCCAAATGCTGTTGAAAACGGAGAGGGCTACATGTGACTAGAATCTTTTTAGGATGAGAATTATTTTAGAAAATTATTTTAGAAAAGTATGTACGTGTAGGTATGACATGGATTAAGACCCTTGCAGTAAGTTTTATTAAGAAATCATGCTTGCAGGGGGTGGGGTTAGAGTGCTTGCCTAGCATGTACAAGGCACTGGGTTCGATCCTCAGCACCACATAAAAATAAATAAAATAATGTCCAGTTACAACTAAAAACATTAAAAAAAAAAAAAGGCTTAGGCACAGGTGGATTTTTAGAGAGATGATCATGTGCAAGAACTGGTTTTTAAAATTTTTCCTTTAGTCCCATTTCTATCACCATTTCAAGGAAGTCTTTGGTTCCAATGTGAAAGCTGATTGATTAGGGACCGGTGACCTGTACAAGTTGTATGTGGGATGAAGTTAAAATAGCTGGGCACAGTGGCTCGTGTCTGTAATCTCAGCTACTCTGGAGGCTGAGGTAGGAGGATCACAAGATCAAGACCAGCCTCAGCAACTTTCTGAGATCCTGTCTTAAAAATAGAATAAAATATAAAAATAATAAAAATTAAAAGACCTGAGATGTTGCTAATGGTAGAGTGCTTGCCCAGCATACCTGAGGCTCTAGGTTCAATTCCCAGCACTGGGGGAAAAAGTAAAATTCAGGCTCAGCTCACGGCAAGTTACTAGTTTATTACCTATAATAATCTCATTTTTTATATGAATCCTCTTAATTTAGAAACTATTTTTTGAAGCAGTATTAGGTTAACCTGACACCAAAATCAAGCAGAAAATGCAGGTTGCCTGTGTATCTCCTGCCTCCAAACACACAGGACCTCTTCCTCCATTAATCCCTACCTGAGTGGTGGGTGTGTTAGCACATTGTCACCTGAGGTCTGAGGTTCACATTAAGGTTCACTCTTTTTTTTTTTTTTTGTGGTGCTGGGGATTGAACCTAGGGCCCTGTGCATGCAAGGCAAGCACTCTACCAACTAAGCTATATTCCCAGCCCTAAGGTTCACTCTTGATGTGCATTTTATACCCTGGGCACATTCATGATGGCCTGTATCCTCCATTATAAGATCATGAAGAAAATCCTTTGTGCTTTACTTTTAAAAGGAAAATTTTAAAAGAACAGCAATTGAAATTGAGAAATATAAAGGGCTGATGTTTTCATACGTGTATATATATATATTGTTGTTGTCGTCCTGGGGATCGAACCCAGGGCCTCATGTATGCCAGGCAAGCGCTGTACTGCTGAGCCACATCCTCAGTCCATAACAAGGACTGTCAAATACTTTTTTTTAGTTGTAGACGGACACAATAGTTTATTTTATTTATTTTTATGTGGTGCTGATAATCAAACCCAGTGCCTCACACGTGCTAGGCAAGCGCTCTACCGTTGAACTACAACCACAGCCTTGTTGAATACTTTTTTCCCCCCCCTCCTTTTCTTTTTGGAATACTGGGGATCAAATCCAGGGGCCATCTACCACTGTACTACACACCCAGCCTTTTTAATTTTATTTTGAGACAAGTTGTCTAGATTGACCTGAAGCTTGCAATCCTCTTGAATAGCTGGGATTATAGGTGTGCGCCCCCCACACCTGGCTAAATACTCTCAAATGTTTTCAATTGTGTGGTTACTTGTGTTGTACTCTTATTCTAAGTACCACATATATTTTTAAAGAAAATATAGATAACTAAATGAGTAGTTTAGAATTAAAGAAATTGTAGTTTGGAAATTTAAAGATAACTGAAATGAATGTCACATTCACTGAGTTTTTAAATGAGCAATACAGTAAACAAATATGATTTCATAAACATGGATTCCTTTTTTATAGGTGATTTATCTCATCATAAATACTTCTTGATCCAGAATTTCTGCCTCTCCTTAGGATTGGTGCTCACTTTTTAAGTCAGCACTTACATCTGCATTTGACTTTTAATACTTACTTCTATCTAAAATAGTTTATTTCTATATTATATTTATTATCTAAGATAATCATCATCTCCTCCCACATGTTAAGAAAAGAAAGGTAGATGGATTCTTTTCTTTCCAATATCAATGGCACTTTTCATCTATATCAATGGCAGTTTTCATCTACTTTGGGCAAAAGCTTTGGAGATTAGTAATAAAAGATTGTAAATAGTTCTTAGGAAAAATAATACTAGTTCTAGATGTTAACTACCAGCTTTGTGAAATCACTACACAAATAGATGGAGATGGTATAATTAGGAATGAGCATGGATGGTATTGAAGGGTTTGGTCAGCATTCTGTAGAACAGAATCTGCAAATTAACCTTCCTTTGAAACAGTGGTGGCCATACTCTTCCTAGCATAGGATCTAAATTGAGATTTCTACCAATGAAGTATATGGAGGTTTGGAGGGACTGGATAGAAAATGAACAAGATTTGCTAAAAAATGGGGAAATGAAGCTGTGTAGGAAAAAAAAAGAAGGGATTAGAAATAACTCACCTCAATAAAAAGAAATCTGAAGAATGTCTCTTATTTGCTTAAAGGCTATAAGTAAATATTGCAAGGAAAACAACCAGTAATTTTCCTTTCCATTAAGGATACACTGGGGTGTAGCCCAATGGTAAAGGATGCATTTTGCATATGTAAGGCCCTGGGTCCATCCCTAGCATCCCTTCCAAAAAAGGGAATATATTTGGAAAATGTGCTTGGGTTAGGGTGGAGTTGTTTGGGGGAGCCCAGGAACTTCTTGGTCATTAAAGTTGGTAGGTACCCAGACAGAGGGGGATATTGGAGGTCATGGAAGGGCCCTCGAGGTAATCCTTTGCAGATGGAACTGCCAGTCATTTATCTTTTCTGGCAGGCGGGATATATGGATAAGTTGTCACACCTCCAATTCCATCATGTTTTATATATTTGTTTATATCCCTGCTGGAAAATTGTTATTGAAAATGATTCTAGTTTTACTTCTTGTTCTTTTTTTTTTCCTTTGTCTGTAATGCAATACAATACATTATTTTTGCTTTTTTGCTGAGTTGCTACCTGCTTTGAGCTGGTTGGAGCTGTATTGTGCATGTACTTAGTGTTTTTACAGGGTCTGATTGTTTTGGGTTTTGATGATTTCCATCTCCTTTGTTGTCTCATGGTCAGTTAATGGAACTCCCAGCAGCCAACTCTCTACTCCTAAATCTACGAAATCCTCCAGTTCTTCTCCAACTAGCCCAGGAAGTTTCAGAGGATTAAAGGTATGAAATAGAACATGTGGTATGCTTGTGTGATTTTTGTTATATTTAAGGTGTGTAGTGTAATACTTTAATTTGTTTAGGGGTTTGAGTACAATAACAAGTTAAAAATGGAAGTTGGATTTGGAGCCAGGAAGACCTGGCTTTAAATGCTGTGTCCTGTTATAATTTTGTTGAACTTCTCTCCACAGAAGTATTCTCCTCTTCAAAATGAGAATGCAAGCTTGTAGTTAGGGTTGAACAGAATGTGGTAAAATACAATTTTTTTCCATTTATTGTTAAAATGATTTGCAATGGTAAAGCCTTGGAGAACATCATAATTCTTTTTAAAAAAAATCTTATTTTTGAATAATGATTGCAATATGGCTACCATAATTTGACTTTATTGAAACCTAAAATAGAGTGAAATTCTGATATCTATACCCACAAGTGATAATGCAAAAAAAAAAAAATGTTCATTTTTGGTGAGAAACTTAGAAATAAATCTTAAGTGTTGACTGTGATACCTAAAAATGTACATAGCAACAACATAATAAGCAGGTTGTTAAGTAGGCAGTAAACTAAGAAGAAGAATGATGGGCAAAACTGAATTTGTGGAATTTTGTCAAGTTTTATTGTTGTTTAATAGATCCCAATAATTTATAAAATGTGCTGATAAAATAGCTCTAAATAATCGGGGTGAAACATTGGATGTTTCCCTATAGGAATAATCAGACTGTATGGTAAAGTACTTGAGAATACTGAAGTATACTCAAAGCCATGTTTGTGTGTGTAAATAACTTCAATTCCCTTGATGTTTGGTTGATATCAGAGATACCATTATTAGGAATGCAGTCTCCAAAGTTGGTTTCCTAAGCACTTCAGATATGGTCCAAGATGTTTCCTGTTCTTTAAGGATGCTGAAGAATGTTTTAAGGGATAAAGGCCCTTCACCCTCTGGCAGCCTGACGCCACCAGAGCACCTGTGGCTCCCCCTCTTCTGAAGGTTACATTCTCTGCCCGTCAGTAGGGCTTGCTTGTGCTGCCCTGGGAACACTGTGTATGTCCCCATGAATGTGAATGATGCTCACCTAAGATTCCCAGGAAAGTTGTTATATCATTAATGCAAAAAAGTGAGTTGCTCCTAGTGCCGGTCATTGTAAACCTGGACTGAGGCACTGTGAGCTTTCCAGTGAGCCACATGCAGAAGTCATTCATGTTTCTCCCCTGGCAGGGTGTGATTTTGATCTAAGGCTGCATGTGTCCAACATGAGAGGCACTATTGTCCTTGCTTACCTGGATCTTGGCCACGTTCCCCCTTTTTTATTACCCATTAGTTAACGGGCTAACATCTTTCTTCTTACTCCATTCCCAACTGTAAGCCCAAGACTGTCCTTTTCTGCAGTTGCTACGAGGTCATTGGGGTGCTACTTATTAACAGTTGGGACAGCTTCAGGACTGGACAGCTAACACTTTAAGAACATGTACTAACACTGTGGCCCATGTGACTCCACACATACACACACAGTCTCACGGGGGATCACAAACGTATATGGAGTGAAAATACATGGAATGTTTAAAACATGGTAACACATGGTGTTATTGCTGAAACATCAAGAAAACACGGTTCTTCTCTGCTGAGTGTATCTTAATTTCTATAGTAAATCCAATATAGATCACAGGAAGTGCTCAGGATTAGTTATCGAGGACAGGAGAGAGTAAGATAGATCATTGGCTGATTAAGGGAAGTATCATTACTGGTCAGGATGGAAAATGAGATTATAAGTGAAATAAAGAGTAGTGGTCTTTCCGTGACACCCCTCCTTGCTTTCCCACTGTGAGCTGTGACACCTTCTCTGGTTTTTCTTTTTCTCATCTGTTAAGTAAGGATGATTGATTTTTTTTAAAAAACCCTTAAAACATGAGGATTATAGTTGTCAAAAAGGGGGGGGGCCCAAAAGCTAAGAAGCTGGGGACTCTATTCCTTTTCCTCATTTAGAATCACCAAATTTACCTTCAGTATTAGTCTGTGTGAGTCTGCTACATGGAGCCCTCGGCCACAGTGCCAGACGCCTCCAGACAATGAAATTCCGTTTCATCACACATTGCAACAATCTCTGTATTTTCACTGACATGAAAACTTCCAAGGAAAAATTAAAAGAAAAAATTTATTTAAAAAAGCAAACCTCTTCAATCAGATCTATATAGTCTAGTTACTTTTCTATACCCAATGCCCTAATTCTGATGTCCTTGTGACATCACTCACATCTGTCCGTGTTTGCATTATTTTTTTCTTTTCATGATATTACAAATGGAAAATTACAGGTAATTATCGTGTGTGAGGCCCATGCTTTCCCCTTCCTCTTCATTTACAGTCGCTTATTAAGATCAATTAAGGGGGAGCTGACAGAGGAAGCCTGTTTCTCAGGGGCAGGAACTATTGATCCTCGTGAGATGCTTTAATGGTTTGGGAGATAGATAATCTTTTTTTATCCAAAGAACCAGAGAGTTTACAAAAGCCGGCAAACCAAACCAGGCTTAGTGGGCAGGTGTCAATTCTCGTGTCTTTGGGGACACAGTTTTGGGTATAGATTTTTATTTATTATTTATTTAACTATCTGAGTGTTACTCTAGGAATTAAGTAAGGTAATATCAAAGGTAAGCAGAATTTGATGTTCTATCACGATTTCCCCACTTTGTATGAATTTCTGATAGCTTTGTATTCTGGTGGAGACGTTGAACAAAAAAATGAAAATAAAGTGGTGTGTATGATGTTTACTCTCTGATCACATTATTATGCCACTTTTGTTTGCTCATTGAAAAAAGATAGAAAGCAGCCCTCCTCTCCATAGAAGGTACTCATTTTTTTTTTTTTTAAATAATACTATGTTTGCGAAGAAGACAACTCTGCCCCATCCATGTGCAGTTAAAGATCATGTTCTTTGAGGGGTTGGACTGAAAAAAAATAGGATGGTGACCAAGTATTTAATATTCTTTAAACCTAAAACTAGAAGGTGTCAGGGTAACTGAGAGTTAGTTGTACATCTGTGTTAGTCAGCCTTCTGTTACTGTGACAAGGCCAGAGGCAATCAACATATAAAGTGAAAAGGTATGTTTTGGCTCACAGTTTTGGAGTTTTCAGTTCATGATCTGTTGGCCTGATTGCTTTGGGGTCTGTGACAAGGCAGTGCATTGTGACAAGAGCATGTGGGAAAGCAAAATTGCTCACCTCAGGAACAGGAAGCAGAAAGGAAGGGACTAGAGCCTCTGTGAAGGTACACCCTCAGTGACCTCAGAACTTCTCACTAGACTCTGCCTCCTAAAGGCTCCACCACCTCCCAGCAGCACTTCCCTGGAGAGCAACCCTTTACCACATGAGCCTCTGAGGGGCACTTAATAGCCAAACCATATCAACCTCAATTATAATTACTTTGGCCTTGCCTTAGTAGTGTTAAAGGAAAAAATGAGTGCTCCTGACTTTTGTTAAAGGCAGATTTCATTCAGAGGGGCTGGGAAAGGTAGGCAGTGGTGGTTGGAGGTCTTGCAACAAGAGAGATTGGATTCAACCCCTACTCCAGCGAGGACAAGTGGGATTTATATCAAGGGAACAGGGTGGGGGCATGGGGATAGATTACTAAGAGGAAGCCTCAAAGGAAAAGGGCTTCTGGCTAAACTGACTTGATAGCATTCTTGGTAAATGCAGGCCAGGGAGTTATATGAAAGTCAGATATCAGGGTGGGAGGTTTCCCTAAACTGACTTCACAGGATTTTTTTTTTAATTTTTAAAAATATTTTTAGTTGTTGATGGACACGATATCTTTGTTTTATCTATTTTATTTTTCTGTGGTGGTTAGGATCAAACCCAGTGCCTCACACCTGCTAGGCAAGTGCTCTACCCCAGCCCTGGCCTGTAACTTTTGATCTTCCTGCCTCATCCTCCTGGGTGCTGGGATTGCAGGTGTGAACCACCTGCCCGGTTTGGCAGGATTCTTGCTCAGTCTGAATTCTGCAAGGACAGGGTAGTCCAAAGCAGGGCCTGTGCAAGCAGGAAACGCAAAGGAGCAGCAACAAAGTTTTGGTCAAAGGAGAGTCTTTGACACTAGTTACTTAAAGCCATAGAATGTGAACATTAGAAGCATTCTCAGACCTTTGAGTCCTCATTTTACAGAGAGAGAAACTGAGGTTTAGAGATGTGAGGTGACTTCTTCAAGGTCTTCGGGACTGGCTGGGGTCTCTGCACTTTCCCGTGTCTCTGGTGGGCCTGCTTCATGGCTCTCCTAGGAGAAGCTGGTGATATGCCCTGTAAGTCCTCCAGGAGAGTTCGTGCAGAGGGGTGGCTCATTGCTGAGTCCCTGGGTTCACACAGCTGCTCTGCATAAGAGAAGAATGAGAGACTAAATGAAAGGGGAACAGGAGGGGAGGGTTGGGGAAGGAGGGAGGAAATCCTGGGGTGGGGAGAGGCTGTTTGGAGGGAGATGGAGAGATAGGGAGAGAGAGCTTATTGGCAGCTCTTCTTGGTGGGGAAGTGCTTGCTGATAGCATCTAATGGAAGCTTGCAAAGTGAACTACTCTATACCATTTGCCCAGCATTTCCACTTAACCCTATAAAGCATTCCTAAAATGACAAAATTCACAAAGGTGAAGGTTACTGATTTTTTTTCTTTGTAAGCCAGGGATGGGGCTGAGTATTGTCAAGATCGGCACAGGCTAGAAGCGCACATAGTGTGGTCCAGGTCCATCCAACACATCGGGTATGTAAATATGGGGCGATATTATACGGCAGGCTTGAGACGGAAGCCACCCTGTTAGCATAGTAGTATAACTGGGATTTGAAAGTGAAATCCGTGCTTGTAAGCATTCCCATTCCAAGGACACCATGAAAAAGCAAGGCCGGCCTGTTAAACAGATGATTGCAAACATGGTCAGAACAAAAACTTTTAAAATGAGTTATTAAAGGGTAGGGTCGCCCAGCAGCTCCCTGTGAAGCCTCTACCCCAGAAACGACTCCCTAGGTATTAGGAGTG